ATCGGAACAACATCTTTTCAATGTATATAACTTGATTCCAGAAAAATAAAAATCAATAGACAATATTTTTCCTAATTTTATCCTGAGGTATGGTAGTGAGCTCTTTCCTCTATACGCATATATTTTGGGCTTTACGATCTATATTTCGATGTGTTACAATTGGATATATCTTTGTGATGCTTAAACTGACTACGAATAACACCACTCAGGGACACTAAAGCGATAATTGACTATTATCTGTGTTGCATTAATTAGCCAGTTCTCTTTACACATACATATGAATGTACCTACATAAGTGTTAAAACTGTCCAAAAATGAAACAACTTGAGTCAGCCAATTAGCTTTAGGTTTAATAAATTTAATAAAATATATTACAAAAGTTGAAGGGTAAAAATTATATGGTCAAGACTTCAGGGACAAACTGGTAATCGGTAGTTATATCCGTTACATTGAGTTTATTTCGAAAAAGTTGATTAAAAATTATAATCTTATCTTTCAGCTGGAAATATTTATTAATAAAATTTTAGCACTTGTTCGATTCTATATACATACTATGTATATATTTGCCATAAAAGTTTTATCGGGGTTTTTAAATATTAGATTTTTTTTAATCATTTCAATGGCAAAATTAATTTTTTATGTATTAAAGGATTATATAACTAATTTTTTTTAACACTATAAGCAAAAAGTTAGAAAACAAAATTTTAAATGCAGTTTTTAGACATATTTTGTTATCAGCTTAAAAAAATAAAACACTGAGCAAAATTTCTTGTTTAATTGTAATTGCAGCAATTGAGTTTTATAGTTTTTAGTCAAAAAACATAGTTTTTTTGGGAAAAAATTTTTTGTTTTTATAGACTTTTATTAATTATTTTTAACTTTTTGTTTCACCTTGGCATTTTGTATCCTTATTTTGTTGTTGTTGTTTTTAAAAGTGTTTGGATTTTATAACAGTTAAGACTGTTTGAATTAATCTGTTATAATTGATTATGTGCGCGTTTAAATGTTTTAAATCCGCACGTCTTTAGACACTAAACGTCTGAACGGATCGAAATGTTTTATTAAAGCGAATATTTAATAATAACTTTTGTTTTTGTTGTTAATAAATTTTCGCTCAAGTTATCTGGGCAATTTGTTCTTTCATTGGCACAATAATTGGTAAGACCGATTAGATAATACAATCGCTATTATTTTGGGGTATTTTTTGGTTTGTTAAATGTTCCACAGAAGAAGATTGTACGCACACAACTAACCGACTTTTTAATGTTAAATGATTGTGCTAACTAACTGCGAGTGTGCAAGTACTTTTTATTATAAAAGTTACTTCTTTTTTGCGCTCAATATCTTATCAACATGATCAAAATTTGTTTGTTTGTATTCGATAGATACTCGAGTGGAGGAGAATTTATTATTGCAATTATTTTCGTGTGTTATAGTTTTTATTTTTATTAAATCATGAGAGTAGTCTATTATTATAAAAAACATTTAACAAAAATAACAAAATGCTTGTTTTTAAAACTTAATTTTGCACCGTGTAGAACTAGTATTTATCAGACACTTTTAAGTGATTCAAGAAAGGCGTTAGATGACGTTTCTTTAAGAACTGATTTGTTATTTTACAGATGTAGTTTGTATTTTTAAATAAATATTTCTTCCAACGCCTATTATCAGTTCTTTTTTATTTATTCTTATTTATAGCACAAACATACACACGTACAAACATACATATTTGCATCATAGTTAAATTTATTTGTTGTATTGTATATTTTTCGTTATCAATGTGCTAAATAATTTATTTACACCAGAAGATATTGTTGTTATTGTTTTTTTTTCGAGCACTTGAAAGGTATAGAAGCAAAGGTGGCAATATCATCATTTGTTAATGATATATAAATACAAAAATACGTTTATCTTGGAAACTATTACAGTTAGAATTTTTAAATTTTGCACGAAAAACTTTAACATCCATCTAAAAATTTTGGGTAATAAATTGGCGTACTACCCATGAGGGGAGCGGCACCTCCCATATTAATTAAAGACAAAAATTCGTTTATCTGGAAAACTAATGGAACTAAATTCTTCAAATTTTGGAGGAAAAAAGCGGACTTTCATCTGGGGGGTCTTGAAGCCCCCACATGAATCAAATAGAAAAATTCGTATATCTGAGAAACTATTAGAGCTAGAATCTTCAAATTTTACATGGAGAACTTTGAAATTCATGTGAACATTTAGAGCATAGCGGGCGGACTTTCAATGGGTGGCTTGGCACAACATATATGAATTAAATACAAAATTCCGTGCGTCTTGGAAACTCTTATATTATTCAAATTTTTTATAGATAGATAGATAGAAATTGGCGATAGATAGAAACTGGCGAACTTGCAAAAAATTGCTTGACATCTTTCATATGTAATATATAATAAATCTGGTATTTATTTATACATATTCCTTTTAGGGTAGCAAAGCACACTGGGTATAGCTAGTTTTGGTATAAAAAACATGTCATACATATATTTTGAATATGTGGCTCCAAATTTCAACTTTGGGATACATGTTCTAAAATCCCAAGGCTGGGATTAGAAAACAGAACTCTGTTTTTTAAATTTTTGATACCTATATATTCCCAAAGAATTCTCCCAGATCAGTAAGAAATGGGCATAATTATAAAATACCACTTTATGATACTTTTACTTCAACATGATTCGGACTCACTGTGTAAGTAATCATTTTAACCGATAATTAGAAAGTTTCGATAACCCAGCTGTTCGACAAAAAATCAATTCTTCCGAAAAAGTCCGATCGAAATGTTAGAAAATATATTATTAGTTTTGCTCATGAAAAAATAAATGGAGATAGCTGTCTTTGCTTCTACATATAATCCTCGTTTTGCTATAATAACAACAATTCCTTAATCATTTATTGTATGAGTACTAAATGATAATTACACTTTCCAATGAGAATTTTTACCTTTTAAAGAGAAATTCTCAAGCTCTTAAATAATAGTGTATTTAAGTTTAAGAGCTTTTATTTTTAAAAATCGAATAATGAAATTTTCATTCATCGTTTAGAAAAGCTAAAAAGGTACAAAGTTTAAATTGGAAGCATACGTGTGCTTGGTTAAGACGTCTATATTAGAACCAATACAAAGAGTTCTCTATCTTTATCAAGGTTACCGGCTACCGTTACCGTTAAAATACTATAACAGTTATTTTATAATTATTTAAACAAATGTTTCTCATCTAAAATATCCAGCTATCATTTGGAAGATTAAGCCGTAAACTAAGACTTTTTTGACTCCTTTTGATGACCTAAAAGTGAATAATTTGCGCGCATAAAAAATGATGAAAAATGAAAATGATCCCGATATAAAAACCGATTGTTGAAAAAAAAACAATAACAAAACGTATAACAAACATAAATTTATCACCCTAGTGTTTAAAATATGATAGTTTTTAAAATTATTTTGTGTCATATTTCAAACAGTTGAAAGATCTAAAATTGTTTCTTATGTAATTATTGGAACAACAACAATTACACTTAAAAATGGCTCAAAAATTATTCGTAACTACTAATCAAAAATGAGATGAAACTGATTAGAAAAAGGAGCTCATGAAATACTCTTTTAGAAGAGTTGCGGCTAGGGTACCATTTTCACCCGACGAAAGTATAATTTATGATCAGAAAATGAGCGTATATATGATCGTTTTAATCGTGAAGAAGTGTCATAAATGACTTGAACAAGATCAAAAAAATGCTATCTGGATACATCTGTTGTGTTGTTGTTATATCGTCAAAAATTTTGTTCGATTTTCCATACATATTGACAATTCTATAATTTTTTATAAGAATTTAACTTAGAGAACTTCTGGTTGCACTGGGTGGTACACATAGGTTGCAGAGCTTATCATACAGTAACAAGTTATAGAGCGGAACCAGAATATATACAAATTCTGATAACGATCAGTAGTTATTGTATACATTACTTGGATAAAAGTGGTCGTTATCACAGATAGACTCGATAGACTGGATTGCAATAGTTAAGCGTCAAGTTGCCAAAACTATTCTTATTGGCAGCAAAGATTTGATTTGATAATGAAAATAGAGCTAAGATTTCGGTATCAAAACTGGTAAGATATCGTCATTGATTCGCATTTGATATCATATCTAATAAAGGTATTGTATTGGTATGAAACCGGTATAAAGGTTAACTGTATTTGGATACCGCTACTTATACTAAAATACATATTCCACTTTTTATACTCTACACCACTATAGTGGTGTGGGTATTGTACGTTTGTGCTGATATTTGAAACGCACAAAAATATTGGTCCTACACCCACCTTAAAGTATCGACTCAGAATCACTTTTCCGATTAAAACATGTCCGCCCGTCTGTCCGGCTGGCTGTCCATGTAAACCTTGTGCGCAAGCTACAAGTCACAATTTTCAAGATATTTTGATAAAATTGGGACTATACGTGTTTTTCGGTACAAGGACGATGACTATTGAAAATGTTTGAAATCGGTCCATTATTTCACCTAGCCCCCATACAACCTGACCATCCGATTTGGGGTTTTAAACTCATAACTACCTCAAATATTCTACTATCTTTCCAAAAATTGGCACAACTAAGTTTTATATAGGCATAAATCACTATACCGACTAGTATAATGATCGACCGTCATTTGATCTTAGCCCCCATACATACCCCTTCTAAAAAATAACTTAAACGTCCAAAAATTTACTTATACCATTAGTACAGCGATGAAATTCATGAAACTAACATTTATATAAAAATTCACCCCTCCTCCTAATTCGTGCATCGGTTTCAAAAGTTGTGACACTTGACATATTTATTCCAATTATAAACTACCTACTAATTCTATTTTAGTATTCTAAATTTAGTCGTTTTAATTATTATTTTTATTCCCAAAAATGTCATCAATACAAGTTTCCTACACCTGAAATGTGTTTTTTAAACATTCTATCTGGTAAAAAAAAATGAAAAACTTGGATATGTATTATTTATTAGAAAGAATCATTAAATAAGCTATAAAATTAAATCTAAACAAAAGAAGTAGAATTTGGAAAGTGCATTTGTATAAACTTCACTTAAACTACATTAAAAACTATAAACTATTTGATTTAAATTAACATATTTTATAAAATGTGATCATTGCAAAAGGAAAATGCCTATAAAAGTTTTGACAGTATCGTATTTTAGTCATTTATAAAAATTTCCATTAGAAAGATGAAATGCTATCGGATGATTTATATATTTATGGGTAAGTTTATTGAAAAGTATCTCTTAAATAAAATTATAATTATACTAATAATTTGTTTGTAGCTTTAACTCTGAGTGAAGTTTTTGGAACATATTTGTTTAATAGGGATGATATGTTTAACATGGATTATAATAATCAATACAGTACCCAACAATATACAACAATATCGCCCATACTGGAAAGTTCCATACCACAGACAAATCTGGGTACAAGTCTGGGTACAACTATAGCAACAACTGAAAGTATTGCTGTTAGTCCAACATTACCACCCCTTAACATTCTGGATATGGGACGCCAACCTCCCGTTCCATACCCTCCGCAATATCCCATGCGTATTCCAATGTTTCCACAACATCCCATCCCTATTCCAATATTTCCACAATATCCCTTGCGTAGTCCAATGTTTCCCATACGTATTCCAAAGTTTCCAAAATTGTATCAATCCAAACCTCATCGTATTTTTTCGTTATAAGAACTAATTAAAATTTTGATAAAAAAAATAATATTTAAATGATTACGGATTTGAATTATTTTTTTGTTGAAATATATTCCCTTAAGCTGGCTGTAGGATCAATATTTTTTTACCTTAAAACTAAATATTAAACAATTCTTAATAATTTATACATACTTTAAATATTATGCCACAACTGGTCTGGTAGAATATAACTGGCACGATCGGTATAAACCTGAAAAATAAAAAAAAACATTAATTAACTTTTTTGTATGAAATCAAAACAATAGATAATTTTTAAGTACAAGACTTTATTTCCGGCTTATTTATTTATCTAAGATTGTGACAAAACTCGTTCAAATAAAGAAATGTACATGTTTCTTTATTTAAACAATAACAATTAATTTTTTGTTATGTTTGAACATATTCTATATATTCTAAATAGAATTCATTCTTTCCAAGCTCTGGAGGCAGGGTATACAAATTAAACATTCCTGCTAATGCATTTAACACACTCCTTTGTTTATATCTAAATAAATATATAAAAATAAATATTTCAAGAACAATTGCTTTTGGTCATTAACTTTAGATTTCTGTGAAGAATTCATTAAAAATGATTCACTTTGTGATAAATATTTAGAATTTTATGTCAAAATACCATAAACAACTGAAACCCAAACAAAAAATGATTATTAATAAAAAAACAAAACAAAATGAATTAAAATTTTTGGTTTATATCAAATTAAAATAATAGTTATGCAAATATATCGTTTATTCTTAAGTTTTCTTAATATGACTCAATATGCATTAAATTATTTCAAAAAATAATACTTTATTCTTCCCCTTAAATAAAATTATCTACTTCGGAAATGTAATTTTAGTTTTTTATTTGTTTCCGAATTTTGAAAAAAATACAGTTATTTTTTTTTTGTAAAGAATTGATCACGTTTCAAAGCTTGTGTCTGTTTAAATATTAAAATTAAGAAATTTTATATAAAATTTTATTTTAAAACTACTGCTTACACAACAATTTAATTTAACAATAAATAAAAAAAAATTAGCAAAAAATAAAAACATTAACAAAGTAACTGCTATAACCAAATTATTTGATTTCTTTAATTTGTTTGTTTTACTTAATCAGTTAGTTGTTTTGTTAATTAAAGACATTTATCCACGATCATTGTTTTAAGTTGGTTTTTTTTCTATTTCTGTTTTTGGCAGAAAAATTAACTTACATTTCATCAAAAATTAATTCAAAATAAGAGTGAAGTCATTAATAATACGTATACACGTATACACGTACATAAATATTAGGTAGGGGTAAATGTAATTTTCAAAATAAAAATTCAATTATAGCAAGTAAGAGCTTTATACTTGGTTATACTGAAACAATAAAATCAAGTCTAGTAAATCTGAAGTGATTTTTGGAAGAGGGACCTCCGATTTTGATTTTGGTTCATAGAAAATGTAATCAGTATTTGTAGTCTGTAAGACAGGAGGTAGTAGATTCTAGGATAATATCTATAATAGAGAGAGAGAGAAGAGAGATGAGCGAGAGGAGAGGCGAGGAGAGCGAGCGAGCGCGAGAGAGCGAGAGAGCGAGCGAAGCGAGCGAGCGAGAGAGCGAGCGAGCGAGCGAGCGAGCGAGCGAGCGAGCGAGCGAGCGAGCGAGCGAGCGAGCGAGCGAGCGAGCGAGCGAGCGAGCGAGCGAGCGAGCGAGCGAGAGAGCGAGCGAGCGAGCGAGCGAGCGAGCGAGCGAGGAGCGAGCGAGCGAGCGAGCGAGCGAGAGAGCGAGCGAGCGAGCGAGCGAGCGAGCGAGCGAGAGAGCGAGCGAGCGAGCGAGCGAGCGAGCGAGCGAGCGAGCGAGGAGCGAGCGCGAGCGCGAGCGAGCGAGCGAGCGAGCGAGCGAGCAGCGAGCGAGCGAGCGAGCGAGCGAGCGAGCGAGCGAGCGAGCGAGCGAGCGAGCGAGCGAGCGAGCGAGCGAGCGAGCGAGCGAGCGAGCGAGCGAGCGAGCGAGCGAGCGAGCGAGCGAGCGAGCGAGCGAGCGAGCGAGCGAGCGAGCGAGCGAGCGAGCGAGCGAGCGAGAGAGCGAGCGAGCGAGCGAGCGAGGAGCGAGCGAGCGAGAGCGAGCAGCGAGAGAGCGAGAGAGCGAGAGCTCTCTATCGATCGAGATCTAGCTAGCGATCTATCGATCTATCGATCTAGCGATCTAGCGATCTATCTACTAGCTATCGAGTATCTATCGATCTATCTATCTATCATCGATCTATCGATCTATCTATCTATCTATCTATCTATCGATATCTCTCTATCTACTATCTATCGACTATCTATCTATATCTATATCTATCTATCTATCTATCTATCTATCTGTCCATCTAAATATTCTACTTGTAGTATTTTGTATAATAACTATTAGAAACTATTTTCCCCTACACAATATGCCGGTATTATTATCAAGTTTGTATATATTTTGTGTTCCAGTATATCAATGTGTTACCAGTGCAATTTGCCAAATCATTATAATATTGAATGAATATATTGTTGTTGTCTGCAGTCTGATTGCCGGTGGTAGTTGGCCTGATTTATTTACAATATCTTTTTATTTTATTTTGCTTAGTGTTTTTGGTATTTTTTTATAATTTTTAAGTTTTTTTTTTCAATTCGTTTTGCAAAATTTGAAATGAGTTATTACATTTAAACCGAAAATCATTTATTACAATTTTATTTATGTGTTTATTATTATTTTTTTGGCCAGTTATTGTATAAATTATTGTTAAGAAAACATATTGTACAGATACATTCATACACATTACTTAATTACCTTTCAAGGTGTAATAAAATAAAGCAATAAAATACTGTTAATTTTGAAAACAAAATAATATGAAATTATATTAAGATATCGTTTTAAAATATTGGTTTTTTTATCGTGAAATTAAATGTTGATTTTAAAAAAATATTTTTAAATTTATCATGTTCAGATATATTATTAGGGGATTATTGTTTCCAAAAAATATTATTATTATTCACTGTTTGTTTCCAAAATTCCTTGCGATATAGTTTTATAAATTGATTTATTATTAAATTGTGACAATTACTATTAAAAGACAACTGCAATATCTAAAAATAAGAATTTATTAGTATGTTATCAAATGACATGTTTATTGTGTTCTTCACTCTATATGAGTTTTGAAGGTGTTATTGGTTTGTTAAGTCGTTTGTAATAGAAACGGGGTTTTCCCGATAACTTTGAGTCCTGCATTTCGGACATTTGTTGTATCATTTCTATGAACTCAGAAAAAGTATTAAATTTGTCTTATTTTTTTTTTCATCTTTCATAAGTGGGTAACTTATTGAAATACATATGTATGTACTATTTGAAAAATTATCTATAAAATTTTCGCATAGTGTAAACAACAGTCTGCATATTTAGTTTCAAAATTTTATTTGGGAAATTTTGCTTTTACGATATGATATGTATCGTCATATCAAAAAACTGATAACAATAACTGTAATAACTTTTTGTAATTTTATGATTTCATTGCCTTTTTTGCAAGTTCAAGTTTTATATTTTTATTAAAGTAAATTTTATAATGTTTATTAAATCAGTCCAAACTGAGTAATGATAATTTTATTAAAATTCTGAGTACAACACTTGCATATCAGAATATAAATTACTGAATTTAAAATGAAATAAAATAATATAATTGAATATATTAATAAAATGACTCAGTCTATAGAAAACTACATAATTTAAAAAAATCACCGTATATTCTTTAAAAAATCAAATTCCTAAAAGCCTTCTTTGGAATTTGTTATAAAGAAACTTGTTCTAAAGAAACTGAAGATTCTGAATGAAGTTTTTGAGGAACCAGTTAGTTAGTTAGCTAGTTAGTTAGTTAGTTAGTCAGTCAGTAGTTAGTTAGTTAGTTAGTTAGTTAGTTAGTTAGTTAGTTAGTTAGTTAGTTAGTAGTTAGTTAGTTAGTTAGTTAGTTAGTTAGTAGTTAGTTAGTTAGTTAGTTAGTTAGTTAGTTAGTTAGTAGTTAGTTAGTTAGTTAGTTAGTTAGTTAGTTAGTTAGTTAGTTAGTTAGTTAGTTAGTTAGTTAGTTAGTTAGTTAGTAGTTAGTTAGTTAGTTAGTAGTAGTTAGTTAGTTAGTTAGTTAGTTAGTTAGTTAGTTAGTTAGTTAGTAGTTAGTTAGTTAGTTAGTTAGTTAGTTAGTTAGTTAGTAGTTAGTTAGTTAGTATTAGTTAGTTAGTTAGTTAGTAGTTAGTTAGTTAGTTAGTTAGTTAGTTAGTTAGTAGTTAGTTAGTTAGTTAGTAGTTAGTTAGTTAGTTAGTTAGTTAGTTAGTAGTAGTTAGTAGTTAGTTAGTTAGTTAGTTAGTAGTTAGTTAGTTAGTTAGTTAGTAGTAGTTAGTTAGTTAGTTAGTTAGTTAGTTAGTTAGTTAGTTAGTTAGTTAGTTAGTTAGTTAGTTAGTAGTTAGTTAGTTAGTAGTTAGTTAGTTAGTTAGTTAGTAGTTAGTTAGTTAGTTAGTTAGTAGTTAGTTAGTTAGTTAGTTAGTTAGTTAGTTAGTTAGTAGTTAGTTAGTTAGTAGTTAGTAGTAGTTAGTTAGTTAGTTAGTTAGTTAGTTAGTTAGTTAGAGTTAGTTAGTTAGTTAGTTAGTAGTTAGTTAGTTAGTTAGTTAGTAGTTAGTTAGTTAGTTAGTTAGTTAGTTAGTTAGTTAGTTAGTTAGTTAGTTAGTTAGTTAGTTAGTTAGTTAGTTAGTAGTTAGTTAGTAGTTAGTTAGTTAGTTAGTTAGTTAGTACAAAACTTGGGAGAGGATTCAGACGAAAGTTTAAAATATTTTCCTTAGGGTTATATTATTTGGTATTTGTCATTTTTTCCTCATTTTGCACCCAATCATCGCAATAATTTGAATAATACAAATTAAACAATTACTTGGGGTGGTGGCATGGTTTAAACCCCAAAGTTTCCTTAAATTGGTATTAATTTCTATAAAATGCCTTCATAAAATTTCAAGGTTTGGTCATCATTAAATATTAAAAGTATTTTTTTCCGGTCTTTATAAATA